TTTGAGATTCCTTCAGATGAACAATGATTAATTCTTAAACTACTATACAGAAACTTTGAATCTCTTAATCCGCAGTAACTGAATAATAACTATGCAGTAACGATTAAATTTAATATTAATTATGCAATTACTACACTATTCAGTTACTGCGTATTAAGATTTTTAAGTTCTGAAAGTAGATTCACAAGTTTTCTTTTATACTGTACATTGTCATGTTTTGAATTTGGTATTATAAGTATAAACACTCAAAAATTGGTATGTGATTGCATTACTTTTAAACTCTTGCCAACCACCATCGACAATAATAGAATATTTTTTTTTAAATAAATGACCAAATCATCATATTATCGTTACAACTGCACAAACAAAATCTGATGTACTTTAAGTACATATCCTTTAACGATATACAGCATCCTTTAACAATACCAAAGTTATGATCAATTCTATAAAAGCTTCAATGCCTCATCAAATATCATTTACGATCTAATATTTGGATTGATTACAAGGTTTATAAACAAAAATAGAAGAATTATCAAAATATGAGTGTGTTTAATTTCGAATTAAATGAGCTTAGTATTTGTTCGCTCAATGTTTTGATGAATGGTCAGATCTTAGATTTTGCTGAATAAGTATACATTATTGGATGCGAAGCATCCAATAACTCTATATTATAGGACATTTATTAATTTCTAAAACATATAATGTGTAATGATTCTGATCTTATCTATAATATAAAAAAAAAATTCAACCTATTTTGTAAGACTAATATTCAAATAAAAAAAATTAAAAATTAAAAAGCAATAAAAGTAGATACAAAAAACGCAGCAGATAAATGCATTTCATATAAATTTTAAAATGTATATGATAAATCTCTGAACGAAATTTAACAAAACATTAATTTTTACAAATAAAATATATAGCACAACATGATGCTATGTTAAATATATATGTATATAAATAGGGAACAGGTATTACCACACCCGATTTTGATATTTCCACACCCTTTGATCACGAGCATAATACATAGTGTATTATAGTTGCAGCAAAAATGAAGAGTCATATTACATTACTCAATTTTTAAGCCGAAAAATTTGTATCACACATCACAGTATCTTTATAATTTCATAACAATAATTTATAATTTTCAAGGGTGTGGAAATACCTGTTCCCTAAAAATATAGCTTGAAAATATTAATCATATCATTATATTGAACCCTCTTTTTCAACTATAATTCGGGATCTACAATTAAAACAAAAAACCTTTAAACAATAAAAAAATATTAATAAAAATCAGTCATTGTTTTTAATTAATACAGTAAACCATGAATTAAAAAAATCAACGTGATGACTGAACAAATATAAAATCTATTTTATTGAATTATGATCGAGAAAAAATATAAGAGATATTTTCTCAACATATGATTGATCATTTAGATTGAAACAGCCTTATAAAGTAATGAGTTTTCATCTTTAATTTTTAAATTTACAAAATGATTAAACAAATATTATTACTTACTATTTTGTACTAAGAGTTTAGAGATTTGTCGCTTTAAACATATTTATATGATTAATCATAATTTGTACTTTTATATGGAATCAAGGAAAAGACGTTTTGATATATCTTACCTCACAATAACCTTAAAGTAATTAATAATGACTCTGAAATACATCTCTACCAAAATCCGCAAACGTAATATCACCAACCATTTCATCTAATGGTGGTTGCATAAACACTGCGAAAGTGTTTCTAGAGATAACATTAATTGGTATTTCATTCTTAATATTTGGTGAAATTCCTTTAACCATATGAGGAGTTGCTAACAAATTATTTCTAGAGGCCAATTGCATTGCTTCTCCCAATTGAAATGCTAAATGATTTTTAGGTATTGAAACTTTAACAATTTTATTAGATTTAGTTTTTATATAAAGACCAGATGATGGATCTGGACATTGAACTTCAGGAAATGTTGAATCGGATTCGTTTATATACATTGCAGAAGTTAATCCTAATTTTTTTTAAAAAAAAAAACTTTGATAAAATAATGTATACCGTAAGTAGGTTGATGTGTGAATTTAAACCAGTGATACCTGTGATGGATGAATGATCCACATGCCACCCACACCAAGAATCTTCAATATTTTCAATATTTCCATTTGCTTTATCATCTTTTGATTGAATCGGAAAATAATGTAATAGTCGAGCTTTTGTAGTATGTGAATCCATAATTATCTTTTCAAGGTAATTCTGCTTTGCACTTGGTAATCTTGATGATACTTGATGGAAATTAATTCGTTATTGCGGAAAAAAAAAATTGTAAATAAAAATTTTTTTTAAAGACAAACCAAATGAGTCACAAGCTCTAGCCACTAGTTTAGCAACATCCATAATAAAGCACCCCAAATCTTTGAAAGCATGTTCAAATTCTGGTAAGTCGTCTTTTGGCCAAATATTTGGATGACAAAACATTGGGAATTCTATTTTTTGTTTTGGAGTTGCATTAGGAATGTCATATTTTGGATTTGCGTAATACGATCCTTTCAAATAATCTATTATAAAATATCATCGATAGTAAAATGTTCAACCCTATATTTGAATCGTTCTTAGAATTAAAAATTCAATCTGATGTTCATTAAAATAATTACCAAGTTTCCCACCCATAATTTCTTTACCGCAACTCCACCCAAAGCTATACAAACTTTCTTGATGTACTGTCTTATTTTTTATAGTTTCTGGTAATGCAGAAAATACGGATGCTAAGCGTAATAAGCGAGTACGTTTTACTGAATAGTCTTTAGGTAGGTTTTTGATTAATATAATACCGAGGCAATGTGAATGGTTTCCAAATGCTTCCTATACGATATATATAAATGCAAATTAATTAAATAATATTGTTTTTATTTTATTACCTATCTCACCTCGATAGCATCTGAAACGTCAACATTTGTCAAAATGTCATTGTAATCAAGGATAACGACTCCTTCGGGACTTTTTCCGATTTTCATTGACATTTTTCATACAATACGTGCTGATGCGATGATACTTTTTAAATACATACACATTCACGTGCTTCATGTGATCACTATGTGAAATGTCATTGGTAATTTAGAAAATGACATTTTTTCATGCGCAACATCATATGCTTAATTCCATTTAAGGACACACGCCCGATTTTAAATGCGAGTTTATCGCATTGATATCATGGGCAGACATTCGTATGATTGGCTAATTTTTGTTGATCTACCCGTGATTGCCCGTAATAATTAACCAATAAAATCAATTGATTAATTTATATGGCGATAGTATATTAAATTAAAATAAAGGCTAATATAAGAGAGCATTACGA